ATAGATGCAAAAAATGCATAAAAACTATCCAAATACATCATTTTCTGAGGGAAATGTAGGCATTCGCAAGCAAATGAGTGGTTGTACATTACGAACAACAATCGCATGCTAGCAAGGGAGTCAATTTTAGGAGGCACACTAATTTTGTTCAAAACAAACAGCCAGAAAAGCCTTTCCGGACAAAAAATGCGGCCTGTCATAAATGCAGATGAACCAGAAATCCTCTCTTCACTAATTCGTTATCACAAAAGCATTTTACATAAACGCAACATTTTGACAAGATTCAACTGTGGTGATGAACAGGAACAAAAACGGCTACAGCCAGCAAAACGCACATTATCGAGAGGTTGTTTTTATGTGTGTGTGTGTGTGTGTTCGGAAGCAAGTGAATTTTGTCACCCGTTTTCAACTCAACAACGAGGAAAGCTGGCAAGCTGAAATTTTGGGGTCATATTCCCACTCGCGCGTCACCCTCCCCTTTTAAGATTTCCTCCAACAAGCGCCTAGACCCCGCATACGGGTTCCCCAATGCAAATTTCTTTGGCGGGAAAAGATTCGTGAACCAGACAAAGTACAAAGTTGAAACTCGAAAACTAGCCGAATGAAATTTCATCAGCACGTTTATCAACCATATGGGAAATTGTATACTCAAAGTGAATTCCGATTTGCACTTGCGTCACGACTTAGGGCACTTCAAAGATGCTTGGGGATGAAATTCCCGACAGATGGTTATGAGAAATACTCAACTTTATCGTAAACTCTGAAACGAGTGCATTTTGCAGATTTCATAATCCTCTTCCGATTCCCATGAATTTGCATTTTTCAAAAAGCGAGCATTTACTGGAAAGCCGACTGGGGTTCATGTAAAAAACTGATAACAAGCACGCTGGAGGCTTATGCGGCTCTATAATGCAACGCCTTCATCCCATACGACCCTCTTTCCCCCTGCATGCCGGAAGGGGCCAAAGCACAGCCAGTATAAGTCAAAGTGTTAGGTTACAGCGCAGGAATCACTCCTGCTATTAGCGAACTGCAAGTTTATTGCAAAAATGCATGATCGCACAGGCAAGCCTAGTGCGTTCCAGTCTGGGTTCTATTATTTCTAACATATCTAATTAAACCTTATATGTTTTACATGTGTCATTAATTTTTTGTTATGCAACTAACCGTTCTATGCCCTTTAAATATTTGATACCTAAAGGAACGGCTTCGGCATACGGATTTGAAGCACAAGGATCAAATAACTGATTGTGTTCGTTGCTATCGAAGCTACCATGTTTTTGCATAATATCTTTGAGTTCAGGAGAGCGATCCACAAACCACCACAATACAATCTGTGGATTCAGAGCAGCAACCTTCAGATTAACCCAGTGACTGCACAATTCCGCTGCCTGCAAAATGAGATGTGAGAATGTACAAAAATCTTCCAAACTGCGGTAACGAAGCCCTCATAAGAATCTGTCCAAGCGCTTCGACAGGACTCGGTAATAATTAACAGGGACAATAGGTTGTAATGCGAGGCCTTTCTTCATCAATTAGGAAATCCACAAAATAAGGCATAAAAGCGAATTATGGCTCAAATTGTCTTATTAAATAACAGGCATCAATCCAAAAAAGGCTAACCTTTTCTCTGATTGCAGTATTTTCGTTCTGAAGTAGCAGAACAATGATTTTACATAAATGAATATCATTGTGACCTTAAAAAATAATGCAACGCAATCGTTTGATGAATAATATGCAAGTTTCCAAGGTCTGCAGAATTTTTTATAACATCCACGAGATCTTATA